TCTCCAGAAATCTACTTTTTCTTGCCAATTCCTTCACTTGATTCGAATAGTTATTCCAAAATTGTATTGTAGATTTCACCTTTTTGATTAGCTATTTGATTAGCTAATTATTCCTTAGATTTCACCTTGACATGGATAATTGGCTGGCCAGGTTTCTTGATTGAAATAGTCCAAAACAAAAGTATAAACTGGGGATTTGGCCTGATAAACTGTCATCTAACGTTTTTATGTACTTAAACAACCTGTGATTTCAACACAGCCTCCCTGACAGCTGGAACATTAAAGAAAAAGTCGGTGAAAAGCTAGAATTTAGAATTTTGTTAGAATATCTATTCACTACATTCATTCATCATCCAATCACCCACCCTTGTCCATTGCTCAATCCAAAAGTAGTGATCACTCGCGTTTTTATTGTTTTGAGCATAGAATTGAAAGATATCCTGTCGAAACTAATTCAATCAATCAACTCAATCTTCTCACTTCAGCCGCTTGTTGTGCTTGTTCATTGTAGCCTCGATTGGCAACCCATTGCTCGATTAAATCATAGAAAACATCATCGGTCATCGAATTCCAGGATTGAGGTGCAAGTGAAAAGGGCAATGAACCTCCGAGAGCTAAAGTATTTTAAATTTTAGACCAATGAAGTTCCAATTGATGGAATCAATAAAATAAATAACTCCAATCGATTTCGTGATCTCAAAAACCCCGACTGCAAATTTACAGCTTCATTGTAGATCGTAAAAAAAGAATGTCTTTTTTACCATCCACAATGCAAAAAATCCTAACTGATGAGATGGTCTTTGTGCTTCCGTGTAATCGCTCACTTTCTGGCAAACCCATCCGGTATAGAGTACTTTCCTTTTGGAATACTCAAGGAAAAAATAGTAGCCCTCTAGCTCACGATTAACGCAATTTTTGGGACAAACAATTTCAAAATTGAGTAACAGATAAAGGGTGAGGGCAGTTAATAGCACGCTGACTCCACTTTTAAGCCCAATTTGAATTTGCAAATTGAACTTTTTGCAAAAAACATTAGCACCTACGGGATCGACCGTAAACTGGCCATTCACCGTGAACTGGTAGTCAGCGCCCTAGGCCACTCGGCCACCACTCAGCATTTTTCGTATGTCTGTCCGGGCATTTTTCTTTATCTTTATCTGTTTATCCACTCGGCCACCAAGACAGCGAATTTTTAAGAAAAAACGGTTAAATTTTTTGAAAATTTGATTGGATATTCTGAAAGTAGGGAAAAAGTTGGGTATAGAATATAGTTTTTGAGTCAGACTCAGTTACTAAAAGTACAAACGGAGAAGGCATTAAATGTCGTCTATACCATAGTAAACAACAGAATACAACAATGGTGCAAGACTTTTTTTGCTTTCTAAACCGGCTGTCTCTGATAAAACTTTGTTTTACGTAAAAAGGAGTCGCTTGTAATAAAAATGGCTAATATGTCCGGAAACTAGACAAAAATAGTAGAATTAGTTATGAAAAAGTTTTCTCTGAAACGATTATTTTTACGGAAAAATTTTTGTTTTAAGTCTCTGAGAGACAATGGTGCAAGACTTTTTTGCCGACTGTAAGTTTCAAGTTAATCAACACAGCCATTTTCGAGAAAAGGCCCAGACAGACATGCGAAAAGTGCTGAGTGGTGGCCGAGTGGTTTATGGCGCTGGCTACGAGTGGTTTATGGCGCTCATCCAGCGTGGATGGTAAGTTCGATTCCCCAGGTGTTAGTGATTTTTGCAAAAAGGATGGATCGCCTCGGGACCAAGCGCAAAAAGTCGCTTGTTTCGTCTCTTTTAAGAGAGTATGAATTTTGTTTATCTTTGGAAGCAAGGCATCAACAATATTTGCGACAAAAAACCCAAATCTGCGACAAGAGTTCTTTGTGGAGCCAAGAAAAGATTGTCGCAAAAAAAAGACTATAAAACTTCATCAGAATTATATTTTACAATTCTATCGGCCCTAATTCAGGCCCAATTTAATGACTTTTGAAAAACAACTCACTGAATATTCTTCCCTCATTAGAGTTGAGACCAATCAAAGTAGGGATTACTGGAGCATTTTGGATAGCTTGTTCAGGCTGAAATTCATTCAATTCAAAGCTTTGTATTCTATTGGGTTCGTGAATTGAAAACTGCCGGCTATTGTCATATGTGACAGTTTGAGCCTTTCTCAAAAAAACCCTTTTGTGCAATGGGGGGTAGAGAAATTCCTTTTCGACCGATTCAAAAGCTGGTTTTGAAGAAATGCGAAATTTACGAATTTTCACAAAACTTGCATTTTAAGCGAAACTACTAAGTGTATCTTTTTGGAAATTTGGCTATAAGCCTCATTTTTGATTCTCTACAACTTTTCTATTGACACCAAAATGGGTTTCTTTTGAAGAAAGTGCTCAAACTGGGACATCTCCAGTCCTCCATTTTTGAGTCTCACACTTGTCTCACACACAAACCAAAATCCTACTACGAAAGAAGAATCCGCAAATTGCCTGTAAAATGGCCAGAAGACGTCAATAATAATCGAAATTATTTGGAATGAATTCATAGTTTTATATTGAATAAATTTTAGTTCAAAGTCCGGCAGTTTTCGATTCAATTCAGCAAAACTGACTCGCTCTAAAATAAATAGCCTTGCTTGGGAACTTTTGGCGCATTCCCCAGACAGTCCGGACCTCGACCCTTTTGATTACTATTTATTCCGGATCATGAGTAATGAGCTTGCGGGAGAACACTTCGATTCGGAAGAAGCAGTCAAAAGTTGGCTTTGGAAGTTTTTCGATTCAAAACCAAAATCCTACTACAAAAGAAGAATCCGCAAATTGTCTGTAAAATGGGTAGAAGTCGTCAATAATAATGGAAATTATTTGGAATGAATTCATGGTTTTATATTGAATAAATTTTAGTTCAAAGTCCGGCAGTTTTCAATTCACGAACCCAATATTTTGATTTAATAAACCTGTTCCGTGAAGAAATCCCCGTCAATCATCGGAGATACTGCGAAAATTGTGAGATCATTGTAATGACAAGCCTGTGAAAAATTTTTACTAATTTTCATTTCCCTTGCAGAACAAAACCTGTGATACATTGAAAAATTCATCAAGAGATTTGGTACAAAGACAACTGAATATTCTGTTGTCTAGCTGAATATCTTTTAACACCTTTTAACATCCCCATGAGTCGAACATCCCAATTGAATGATTGTATTCATCGCAAATTCCACATTCTCATTACCGCGTGCAAAAGCAGCAATCGGGGAGGCGCTTTGTTCAAAAGCTTGTTGGAATAGACCTGCAATCTAATAGGATTAAGTAGCTTAACATTTTGAGCCAACCTTGTGATTTCGGTGACAAAGTGTGTTGCCCAACCGACGACGAACCGGCCGAAGTGCCCCAAATGGTGACTCGCTTTGAATCACCTGTAACTTTTATATTTAGCCCATAGCACAAGAGAAACAAAAGTTTTGCCAAAAAGCGATCGAACTCGAGCAGAAAATGAAGCGCTCGTTTTGTATGCCAGCCTCTTATCAACTATACTATCAAGTCACGTTTGGGATCCGTGAAAGAACCGTTATAAAGGCATCCCTATTTGGCTCCAAACTTTTGCATTTTCGCCCTAAGACTTCAACACGTATAACTTTTTATAGAAAGCGCTTTTGCAAAAACAAAAAGCAGATTCGGAATCAGCGTGAAATTCTGCGTTTATGGCTTATCTCATTTAGCCACACCCTACTATTGCCTTTTCCTTGTCAAGTCTTTTTGCCAAACCTCCGAATTTCCCGATATTCTCTTGTACCCATCTCAACGCCATATTCTGATCCCATAGCCCGAGATTTGCCGGTAAACGAGTGTCGTTCAATGTCATAAAACCTGAAACCATAAGCTAACAGCGTCGATTAGGTACTTAAAAGTTGTCATTGATTGACAAAATCTAGGACTCATCTGGACTCATTTAAGAAATTTCACTAAACGACCGTTCTTATAAGTTACCAAGAAATCCGACGCGATATTGAATTGAAATAAAAACGATTCCGTTTTGAGCATAGATCTAAATATGTGAAAGACATGGTAAACCTATCACAAAACACATTGTAAACCTCTCTCATTTGTCGATTATTCATGACTCCAGATCCCTGTCGATACCCGCCATCATGAATATAAATAACCACAGGGAAAAGGGTGTTCTGAAAGATTGATCAATCTAATCAATCCCCCAATGAGCCAAGCGTCCTGCCGCCTCAGCTAGGCTGGAAAATGGCCAAAAACTGTTAGCTCATGTGGTATGGCCATTCCCCCCGCTGCGGCGGGCGCCCCGGCGGTCAGTAATCAATCACAATCTAATCAATCAAATCAAAATCCTTGCTTACATTCAAAGATGGAGTCCAAATGTTCAAATAGAGACAATCTTCAGAAAAAGTGTACTGTTCTCTAAGATTTCTATATTTGCGTTTTGTTTTCATTTTACCGTTCACAGGGAACACATGCTGGTTGATAAGCGACTACATTTTTTGGAGCTGTCCAAGGGATCGGTGGCTGGGGTTTCTAAAAAGTATTTTGCATTTTAAAACGTGTCAACTTTCAAAACCTACCCTAATTTCAATCTATCGACTTTTATCCTTTTCAAATCCCACCTCAAACCGAAGATTCCCAATTGGAGGCGCGGCAAAGGGGACTCCGATAAACTCGGAGACTTTCGCCCCATTCGTCGTTGTGTATGTTGTACCCACAACCGGACCATATTTTGTGATCACCAATGGATTTTGAGAAACGATTATTTCAATTAAGGAAAAGAAAATGAGAAAGAGTAACATTTAGAGGATTTAGCCTTGATCGTGAGAAGCAATAAAGTTCGAAAACGAATTAATGATTTTCGGAGAGAAAACTGAGAGAGACGTCACTCGTTTCTGATAAGGAAAATGACTGGCAAAATATTTATTTGTTTGTAAAGAGTGTACTTAATTAAATAAGCATTTTGTGGCACAAATCTTTCATTTCTTCAAGCACTCCAGGCTCTTCTTGTCACAAAGTCAAAGTTATACTTTTGCATCGTTTTCGTCCAAAAATTGTAGCTGTCAACAAAGAGATCTAAACTGATTCGTTAGCTTAAATTATGCTAAAATGTTGTTATTTTCTTTTATAACTTTTGCTCACCTGTCGACATTGAAGGCTTAGGTTTAAAGCTGAGATATTGAAGCTGACTGGCCGTGAATGGATCCCATTTGAAAGCGGCGATGCTCGGATTTCTGAAGAGATTTTGTTAGATGAGCTAAGATTTTACTTGTCAAACCCAGTCTTAATGAATTGAATGATAAATTCTCTCATAAAATTGGCTACAGTAACATCCTCTTGTGTGGGAGTGAAATTAACATTCTCGCCCAGACAATATGGCATCTCGGAAGTGTGCGTTGAACCTAAAGACCTAGATTTTCAATCATTGTAATTTCTTTTATAATACGATAAGACAAGAAATTAATTACGATAGAGCTAGACTTTCTATGGTAAATCATTTCTTGGTTTACATTAGCTATTTGATTAGCTATTTGATTAGCTATTTGATTAGCTATTTGATTAGCTAATTATTCCTTAGATTTCACCTTGACATGGATAATTAGCTGGCCAGGTTTCTTGATTGAAATAGTCCAAAACAAAAGCATAAACTGGGGATTTGGCCTGATCAACTGTTATCTAACGTTTTTATGTACTTAAACAACCTGTGATTTCAACACTGCCTCCCTGACAGCTGGAACATTAAAGAAAAAGTCGGTGAAAAGCTAGAATTTAGAATTTTGTTAGAATATCTATTCACTACATTCATTCATCATCCAATCACCCACCCTTGTCCATTGCTCAATCCAAAAGTAGTGATCACTCGCGTTTTTATTGTTTTGAGCATAGAATTGAAAGATATCCTGTCGAAACTAATTCAATCAATCAACTCAATCTTCTCACTTCAGCCGCTTGTTGTGCTTGTTCATTGTAGCCTCGATTGACAACCCATTGCTCGATTAAATCATAGAAAACATCATCGGTCATCGAATTCCAGGATTGGGATGCAAGTGAAAAGGGCAGTGCTGCTTGAAGGACTGAATTTGAGTTTCAAATCTTTTCTCAAACTTAAAATCAATCTGAAAACTAACTGAACAATCGTCCCTCATTTGAATTGAGACCAATCAAAGTGGGAATCACTGGAGCACTTTGAATGGCTTGTTCAGGCTGAAATTTTATTAATCAAGTCTAATCTTTATAAAGAACTTGTTCCGTGAAGAAATCCCCGTCAATCATCGGAGAAGTCGCAAAAATTGTGAGATCATTGTAATGACAACCCTTACCTACGTTGAAAAAATCATCAAGAGATTTGGTACGAAGACAACTAAATATTTTGTTGTTTAGCTGAATATCTTTTAACACCTTTTAACATCCCCATGAGTCGAACATCTCAATTGAATGATTGTATTCATCGCAAATTCCACATTCTCATTACCGCGTGCAAAAGCAGCAATCGGGGAGGCGCTTTGTTCAAAAGCTTGTTGGAATAGACCTGCAATCTAATAGGATTAAATAGCTTAACATTTTGAGCCAACCTTGTGATTTCGGTGACAAAGTGTGTTGCCCAACCGACGACGAACCGGCCGAAGTGCCCCAAATGGTGACTCGCTTTGAATCGCCTATAACAAACCGCTTATTGATTTTAAATGCTTTGTAAGCTTTGTTGCAAATAATCTCATGACTTTTTTTATGCCGAACCTCCGAATTTCCCGATATTCTCTTGTACCCATCTCAACGCCATATTCTGATCCCATAGCCCGAGATTTGCCGGTAAACGGGTGTCATTTAATGTCATAAAACCTAAAACCGAAACCATTTTGTTCTCTATTTTTAAGTTTCTAGTAGTAATTGTAAGAGTTTTAGTAAAAATTATACCAAGAACTCCAAGTCGATACTGAATCGACACAAAAACGACTCCGTTTTGAGCGTAGATCTAAACAAGAAAATTGATAGTCAGCACTCAGATGTAAATCTCAAATCTTAAGATATCCAACCTCTCTCATTTGTCGATTATCCATAGATCCAGCTCCATTGATATACCCACCACCATGAATGTAAATAACCACAGGGAAAAGGGTATTCTGAAAGATCGAAAAAGATTGAAAGATTCTAATCAAAAATCCTTGCTTACATTCAAAGATGGAGTCCAAATGTTCAAATAGAGACAATCTTCAGAAAAAGTGTACTGTTCTCTAAGATTTCTATATTTGCGTTTTGTTTTCATTTTACCGTTCACAGGGAACACATGCTGGTTGATAAGCGACTACATGTTTTGGAGCTGTCCAAGGGATCGGTGGCTGGGGTTTCTAAAAAGTATTTTGCATTTTAAAACGTGTCAACTTTCAAAACCTACCCTAATCTCAATCTATCGACTTTTATCCTTTTCAAACCCCACCTCAAACCGAAGATTCCCAATTGGAGGCGCGGCAAAGGGGACTCCGATAAACTCGGAGACTTTCGCCCCATTCGTCGTTGTGTATGTTGTACCAACAACAGGACCATATTTTGTGATCACCAATGGATTTTGAGAAGCGATTATTTCAATTAAGGAAAAGAAAATGAGAAAGAGTAACATTTGAAAAATTGCACAAAATGAAGAGCCTCAAACGGCGATCTCTAGACGGAAACCCGTTTCTGATAAGAACAAAAAGGAATTTCTTCTGAGAAGAAGGATTTGATTATTTTTTTGTTTATATCTTGAGATTTTTACTATTTATTTTACAATCCAAATTTTCGATTTCCTTTCAAGCATCCCAGGCTCTCCTTGTCACAAAATCAAAATTATATTTTCGCATCGTTTTTGTCCAAAAATTGTAGCTATCATCAAAGAGACCTAAATGGAATGAATCAGCTAAAAAAACATGAAAGATTAGAAAATACGCTAAAAATTTCAGAAAAATTCTTTTTCCTAATTCAAAATATCCCATCGGTATAACTTTTGCCAACCTGTTGTCATTGCAGGTTTAGGTTTAAAGCTGAGATATTGGAGTTGATTGGCAGTGAATGGATCCCATTTGAAAGCGGCGATGTTCGGATTTCTGAAGAGATTTTGCTAGATCAGCTAAAATTTTGCTTGCCAAACCCAGTCTTAAGGAATTGAATGATGAAATCTCTCATGTAAGTCGCCACAGTGATATCTTCTTGTGTGGGCGTGAAATTGACGCCCACTCCGAAACAATAGGGAACCTCGGAGCCGTGGGTGGAGCCTAAAGATGAAGATTTCCTCATGCTCAAAATCAAAAACAAAAACACAATCTATCTGGCACACGTTCTTCATTTCAAACTTGAAGATAAATGCTAGGCGTTGTTCTACAGCTCTTTTACCTTGACACGGATAGTTTGCCGGCCACGTCTGCTGATTGAAATAGTCCAACACAAAGGCGTACACTGGGGATTGCGCCTAAATAATTATGAAGCTAAAACTCTTTTCTTTAAAGAGGCATTTATTCAAGTCCAGTAATCTGTGTATATTCAGTTTTTCTAATCTTTATCCAATTCAATTAAATAATCGAACCTGAGATTTCAATGCCGCCTCTCGCACCGCAGGCACATTGAAGAAAGTGTCGGTGAAGAGCTGAAATCAGAAAATTTCTGAAAAAACGATTCTCCAACCCTTGTCCATTGCTCGATCCAAAAGTAGTGATCACTCGCGTTTTGATTGTTTTGAGCATAGAATTGAAAGATATCCTGTCGAAACTAATTAAACCAATCAACTCAATATTCTCACTTCAGCAGCTTGTTGTGCTTGTTCATTGTAACCTCGATTGGCAACCCATTGCTCGATTAAATCATAGAAAACATCATCGGTCATTATATCGTAGAGACTCGGCGCGATCGAGAATGGCTCGCTTACTTGAAGCACTAAAGTGTTGGGTTGTTGTTTGCTTTGACTTGCTGAACAGCTTACCATAAACATTCTAATAGAAAAGCCGACTCATGTATTCTGTTTTTGTTGGATTTTCATCCGGTTTTCAACGTTATTAAAAGCCTTTTTTAGTCGATAAATATTCTTTAAAGCCTTTGGAAGTCTTTAAAAAGTTAAGCATTTTTCTATGCTTAACTTTCTATGAGTTGACAAATCCGAAAAAAAATGAAAAATTACGTCTAAAGGGGGCTCCTCTAATAGAGAGGGCCCTTCAATTTGAATAAATATGGTAATTTAACGATTTCTGAACAAGAATAGGCTAGATTTGGCTTAACATTCATTAGAACAAACCAAACAATCGTCCCTCGTTCATGTTGAGGCCGATCAAAGTTGGGATTACTGGAGCGTGTAAAATGGCTTGTTCTGGCTAAAACTTACATGGTTTTTTAGAATTTAATTAAGAAATAGAATGGTCAAATCTAAAACAATATAAATGTTACTTCTTCTGCGAAGAAATCCCCGTCGACCATCGGTGAAAGCGGGATAAAGTCCAAGTCGCTCATCGTGCAACCCTGAAAATTTTAAACTTATTTCAGTTTATTGTAAGAAATATTTCTCTGCTAGACTTAGTACTCTTAACCATAGCCAACTACCGTAAATATTCTTATAGAAGCACCCTCTATGGGAGCGTCGCATAGTCTAAGTTTACTCTCAAACAAACGCTCATATCTCGACACCAATACGTTTGTTTCTGCGCGCTTAGGTAACAAATTAAAGTAGAGAATGGGTAATTTTTTTTGAGATATAACACATATTTTTAGCATTAACCAGCGTTTAGCACAAAATGATTGAAAAATGATGAAAAATCGACTTTCTTTGCCAAGCAAGAGGTAAAGGGAAAACAAAATTTACCACAATTTTGTCGATTTAACTTGCAACTATTGAAAAGAAAACCCGAAACAACAAATTTGACAGCTTAAATGAGGGAAAAGTCTACGCAAAGATATTCAGTTGCCACGGAGAAGCTACTGTATTGAGGACAAAATGGAGACGTAATTTGAATACAATTTCCCCCAACTTGTAGCGGCTATTCGCCACATTTATGCTAGTTTCAGATCTACTTTCAATTGATTAATTAACCCATAAGCTTTTCCTCTCATTCAACCCCACTCACCTGTGTCACTTGCCAAAACTCGGCCATTGTCTTGGTGCGAAGGCAGCTAGGGCATTGGAAATGTAACAAAAAAATAAAGGTGTCAAACCTCTTGACATCCCCATGAAGTGGGCATCCAAGTTGAACGAGAATATTCATCGTGTATTCCACATTGAAATCTCCGCGAGCAAAAGCAGCCACTGGAGAGGCGCTCTGTTCAAAGGCTTGTTGGAATAAACCTAGAATAAAATCTAGAATTTCTATCTTGTCTTTTAAATAATGATTATGCTCAACATCATCTAGCTTACTACAGTATACCAATAAATATTAGGGTGTATAACTTTTAAAGTTGGTTAACGAATCTAATTGTAAAGGTACGTAATCGACTTGCTTTTCCTCCAGAAGTACTTTAACCAGAATTTTACCATAATATTATGTGCTTATATATAAAAAATCATACCTAATATTTCAGAAGCAAAGTATGATACTGGATATTTTGATTGAAACCTTGTGATTTCGGTGACAAAGTGTGTTGCCCAACCGACGACGAACCAGCCGAAGTGCCCCAAATGGTGACTCGTTTCGAATTGCCTAAAATATTTGAGACACGTACCTTACAATTAGATTTTTCCAAACCTCCGAATTTCCCGATATTCTCTTGTACCCATCTCAACGCCATATTCTGATCCCAGAGCCCGAGATTTGCCGGTAAACGCGTGTCGTTCAATGTCATGAAACCTAAAAAGGCAAAATTCTTGTAAAGTTCTATAAAATGATACCAAGAAATCCGAGTCGGTATTGGATTGTGATGAAAACGATTCCCATTTGAGCATAGATCTAAAAAGTTACTTGTTTAGACCAAAAATCAACTTTTGGTACGAGCAATCCTCTTTACACGTCGAGTAAATTGAATATCTTTACATTTGAAGGGAATTTCCCACCAAATCAATTAAACGGCTGAATATCTTTAAAAGAATTCGGATATAAGTGGCCGCTCGTTTTTTTTGCGCCAATTTTTTGCAATAATTTTTCCCAAGTGTGCGTTTTAAAAAAATGCATTATCCAAAGGAAAACACTCTAATTCCCAGGTCCAACACCTATCACCAACCTCTCTAGCTTGATTGTTGTCCATATATCCATTTCCACTCGTGTAACCACCACCATGAATGTAGACGACAACCGGGTAAAGTGTATTCTAAATTTTCTGGTCAATAGCTGATCAAAGGTACTACTTACATTTAAAGATGGAGTCCAAATGTTCAAGTAGAGACAATCCTCGGATGTGCTATCGTCTCTGGAAGTTGTTCAATTCAAATATCTATCAATTATCCAACCTTGAGCACGGGATACATCCCGGCGCGTACTTGTTCGTAGTCAATGGAGAAGTCCATGGCACTGGTGTCTGGGGTTTCTAAACGAAATTTTGAAGTACAAAGACTCATAGATGGGCCTCGTTTTCTAAAACATGTCAACTTTCAAGACCTACCGTAATCTCAATCTATCGACTTTTATCCTTTTCAAACCCCACCTCAAACCGAAGATTCCCAATTGGAGGCGCGGCAAAGGGGACTCCGATAAACTCGGAGACTTTCGCCCCATTCGTCGTTGTGTATGTTGTACCAACAACAGGACCATATTTTGTGATCACCAATGGATTTTGAGAAAAGATTATTTCAATTAAGCCAAGAAAAATAAAAGCACTCAACATTTTTGTCTTTTTGGAATAAAGTGAGGGATTTCTTGGATCGACCTTTCTCCCCGAAACACCCGATAAGCCGTGGCAGCAAAGAACGGGTGTTATCTTTTTCCAAAGTTGATCGCTGATCTCGTCATCTGGGGAATTCTAGTTAATAACTACATTGCTCAATGAATGTGCATACAAATTTTGATCCCGTTTTGGCTCTAAAGAGTGTTGCAGGTACTACGTGAGTGCCAGAGGGCAGATGTCGTTGCCATGGCCGACTGGCTAAAAGCCCTGTATCTTAGTCGGGAGGTCAGGGGTTCGATCCCACCGGCTAGATTATTGCTTCTTTTTTCCTACATTTAGGGTTGTGCTTGTGTACCATTATTATTCGTGTGAATAAACGTATTTTTAAGATGTGTGCACTCTGAAACGCAAGAACTGGGAAAGCACAAATTTTCTTGTAGAAAAGTTTTTGTTTGACAAATTTTTCATTTCTTTAACTGAATATCTCATGTAATTTTGAATAGACTGACTGGGAGTGGGACAAATGCGACCTTTTTTTTGCGCACCCGGACATTTGCGCACCTTTTTTTGCGCACCTTGCCCATCAGCGCACCTTTTTTCGCGTTTTAAAAAAAGCTCTAAAAAGCTAATATTAACCAATTTCTATTTCAAAAGTTGTTTTTCTAGGTAATTTTAGGGCGTCGAATTCAAATTTTGACATATCAGAGCTTGTGGAAACAAACGGACGGAGTTATACAAAGAGAAAAATCGACAATTTTCTGTAATTTGATCTAGCCGTTTTGTCTTTCAAATTGGTTTCAAATTTCAAATTCAAAACAAAAACCTTGTATAAAATTTTGTTATTTTTGTTTTTGTTATTTATTTTCTTATTAAATTATAAGCTTTCTAACTATGAAAACCTTTTTTACTTGAAAATTTTCTTTTTTTCGTTTTATTTCTCTTTCACCTTTTAGCTGACCTCAATCACGCCCTCAAATTCTTTCCATTTTGTGTTCTTTGTTCAATCGCGTACTCTTTCCAATCATTTTCATAACTGTGTTTTCCTTTTGTTCAACAGCTCACTTCTGTAAAATTCTTCGGCTTTACCATTTATTTCTAGATGAGCGAATCAAATCCACCTCGTCTCACAATGAGATCCATCATGGATCACTATCTCAAACCATCAACAAGTCAAGAAACTTTCGAAGCACCCATGATTTCAGGTTCAATTTTGTTTAAAGCTTAAAATACGTTAAAAAAATTCAGGAAAATTCTTTGCCCTGATCCGAAATATCCCATCGGGATTTCGATCGGCTCATCTACGTGCATTCTTTTCGAATTTTATCGAGAACTCTCGCTTTGACTGTTTCCATTTCAAGCATCGACCGGAGATTCAGGTTGGTGTGATACTTTATATGTTATTTTACGAATGATATCTTCAGAAAAGGGAAAACGATGAGAAAACGAATACTTTTTGCTGTGTGGTCCGTTTTGCGAAAGCCGAAGATCGAGAAGAATTCATCAAAGATTATCATAAGTGAGTTATTTAACGTGACATTTAAGGCAAGCTTGTTTAAACTTTTAACGTACAGATTTTAGAGAGAATTGGATTGATTTCAACCGACCGAACCTTCGAATCGCCCGTCGATGCTTCATCACTCCGATCAAAGTGATCAATGTGAGTTGCATTTACTTGAGCTGACCGCTGCATTTGCTGCATTCTCAAAGATCTACATGGTGTCTCAAAATTATCCGGGAAACTTCTTGGAAAAGTAGTTATCGCACGCTTAATTTATTTCAAAGTGTCAAGTGCTATGTAGAGAATTGTAGTCCTTAATCTTGGCTACATTTATCTGCTGAAAACTTCCCAATCGGATGTATACAGCTCATTTAACAAGTCCCCTATCCGACGCGCTACTATTTTTAACGATTTTCTACATAACAAATTGTCCGAACAAGTTTTTGTCAAGGTTTATTTTATGCAAAAATATCATTTAACACCATTAATAATGTTAAAGATAACTTTCAACTGTTTTAGCTAACCTGCTATAACCAAAATCAAGCTGGTGACTAGCTTCTTTGAAGATGCAAAGAAAAAAATAAAATTGATCATTTTTCGATATTTAGTTCACATGAGCATCTCGTTATATTAGTTGTTGTAGCGCTATGAAATTGTTGGAAATAACTTTTCTAAACAAAATGCACACAAATCGTACTGAATAAAATCGTTTTTAGGTAAAAAATTTTATCTAGAAAATCGTCAAAAATGACAGAGCGCTGGATAGGGATCGACTGGTGCTCATTCAAGGACTTGTTAAATGAGCTGTATACATCCGATTGGGAAGTTTTCAGCAGATAGATGTAGCCAAGATTAAGGGCTACAATCCTCTACTTGACACTTGACACTTTGAAATAAATTAAGCGTTCGATAACTACTTTTCTAAAAAGTTGTCCGGATAATTTTGAGACACCTCTACACCTGAGACCCTATACAACAGATATCAATTGAAAACTATCAATCAGTTTAAAACTTGCTCATAGACCAAGCCAACTACATTGTTGAACGAGAGCGAAGCAGAGGACTGCCAACTGTCAGCAACGGATCTCCTTCAAATGATCGAACTCCGCCCACCCGAAGCGATGCCGAAAGGGAATGTGGGAACGCCGACTGAATATTTCTTTGAACAGGTAATTGAATAAATTTTAGAATGGTTACTGTAGGGCAGTTCATTATAGCAGTCATTACACCAAGATTCCAGATCTCTCTTTGCAAGCTCCCACCATCAATCATCACAAAACTCGGGCTGAAACGCTTGCGGAGACGGCGGAAATTCGGGGCTGTTCCATTTCAATATGGTAGATTTATTCACAAATTAGGAATTACAAAATATGACTGAATATTATAAATATTAAATATTTAGGAAATAAATCAAGAAACGCCCCAGGAACTAGCCGCTCGGGAGTCAAATTTGGGCCCGACAAAGAGCGAGAGGAAGAGAGCACTTCGGAAAATGTGAGACCTAAAATATCAAGATTTTACGTAAAGATACTAATGGTTAAATTTTTAATATCATAACCTTACATTTAACTAGTAAAATTGCAAAACTTGACAAAACAAATCCAGGAAGAAGCCCTGCCAACCGACGAGGAAGCCGACGATGATGACGATCAATGCGAGGAGTGGGAGAGGTTTGAAATGTTTGGCTGATCCTTAAAAACATATTTTCAATTTCAAATTTCAAAAATCCTCTTTTTAGACATGAAGCGCTTTACGATGATGTCACCGAACAAGATCGAACAAAGCAAAAGAAATATGAAGAGGAGATGGAGGTAGAAGTTTGGGAAAAGTTAGGATATAGTAAGATCAATTCTATCATATTTATTTTACTTAAAGTTCTTGAAGCAGTTACCTAGTAAATTTCAGGTTGTTTGGGAGAAAGGAGGACCGGGTCTCGTTTGGAATATGGACAAAGAATATTGGGACGAAAGGGAAAAGGTATAGTTTTATCTGGATAACTGAACTAGTTTTAATATTTTTTTAGGGAACCGATTGTGATTGGCTGTGGGCCGATGATTGGGATGTTGACTATTCGGTCTATTATGAAGGAAAATCAGCTGGCGATATCGACTCGAAACAGGCTGTCGAGATACGAGAAGATGAGGGGAGAAGGTGGGGAGAGTTTCAGGGGAATATCACTTTAGAATTGCTTTTTCGGACATTTGATACGCGCCCCGACCCTTTTGCTATTGGTAATCCAAATTTGAGGTCAAATTTCTTGGTGTTGGACTGTCTCAATTTAAATGTTCTTGGTATCATTAGATACGCCAAGTCTTTCTCTGTCGATTGGTAGAAAAACTATTTAAATTAGACAGCCCAACACCAAGAAATTTGAGCTCATAGTTGGATTTCCAATGACGAAGGGGGCGAGGTGCGTATCAAATGTTCCACAACCTTTAGAATTACATCAACAGAGCCAAGATCTAAAAGATTCGCAAATTTGCACTCCAATTAACCTTTCAAAATAACATTTTAGAACCGGTTCTCTCGCCGAGTCCGTATTCCGGAAGCCCTCGGAAAAGTCGAAGACAAGAAAAAGACGTTATTCGGGAAGTGATGTTGTCGATGTGGAACAGTACACGAAACGAGTTGGAAGTCGTCTCATGAAACGGTTTGAACTTTAGTAAATTGAATATCTTGAGTTTCACTAAAAAACAAACTTAATTTTTATAAAAACAATTTTTTTTTATTTATATTAAACGATTTTTTTAGCATGGGTTGGATGCCGGGAGTTGGTCTGGGAAGTAGCGGCCGAGAGGGTAAAGTGATCCCCGTTGCGCTCGATATGGGCGAAAAAGCGTTGATCGGCGGAGAAAGGACTGGCCTTGGCTTTAGGTACTACAATATTTTTTGAAAATAAAAATATCTATTTGCGTTTTATATCTAAACCCGTTAACCCCACTTTTCAGGGGTGAAAAGATGAGCCGCACCGGGAATCGAGAACCGAAACGACACCACCTTTTGACGGCGTAAGTTTTTCTATTGTGGCTAAATATAACTCAAGATAGATAGAATATTTAAAAGCAAAGCCTAATCATTAATTTATGCAAGTTTTTAGCTACGACACGTATAAAGACAAAGATGAGAGCCGAGACAAGATGCGGCGTTTAGTCGGCGATAATAATGAATTGACCAGGTACAAAAATAATGCAAATTCTAGTACTTATAATTTCTCAGTTTTAATTTCTATTCTTAAGTTCTTATCATAAAGAGGTTCTAGACCTATAATTAGGGCTGGATCTAGGATTATCCAGGCTAGGACAGATCAGAGTCAGACCTTTCATGACTTTGGCCGATAACGATACGTTTCATGATAACGACTTTTCTGAGCTTTGGCCTGACCTTGGACATGCCCAGAACTTTAGCCTGACTCTGACCTGCCCTGGAGGGCCAACCATGCTCATAATCTTATAGCTAGTGCGTAATATTTTTTAAACAATACCGATATCCGTGTTTTCTTTCAGTGAAGTCCTCTGGCGACGCAAAGAGCCGACCTACTTGAAGCACTATTAGACTATTATCTTTTACATTTATGTTTACGGGTATCAATATAATGTTATATTGTACAAAAATGCAAATCCTATAGAATATTTATTCCTAATTCACTTCGAAAACTCTATGTCTTCAATCATCGACTCCAATTCCTTCTTGTGATAAAATCGTAGTCATACTTGGTCATCGTTTTCGTCCAAAATGTGTAACTGTCGAGGAAATAGCCTAATATCTTAGATTTCAAGTTTAATAAGTCTATAAAGTTGCATTTTTTTCTTCTTTGAATACCTTTCTCCATTGTTGGTGTTGGTTTGAAGCTGAGATACGCTAGTGACTCATCGGAAAACGTTTCCCAGGTTATCGATGGAATAACAGGCATCCTGAAATCGGTGATTCAAGTCAAGGTTATTAAATGAGACTTGTAAAATCACTTAGTGTTTTTTTTTAGTTTTTTTTTTGCTTACGAATTACTTATAGCTAAATTCACCCCGTTTTCACAAATTCAAGAATAAAATTCTGCATCATTTTGGAGACTTTCTTGTCATCGTTGGTCATTTCGAAGAAAGGTTTCCGTAGACAATAAGGGGCTTCGGTGGAGTGGGCAGAACCTGAAAGAACAAAAGAACAAAGAGTTTTTGCATATTTTTGTTCTCTCAATTTTGTAGAAATCTCTAAACAAAGTTATAAACCTTATTTGATAGTATAGAACTATTCGAACTACAGCAAACCTTGACATGGCCAATCTGTTGGCCACCTCGCTGGATTGTAGTGATCGAAAAGGAAAGCCCAGACTTTTGCTTTTGCCTAAAGTTTGAGATTAAAATTTTTTTGATTCCCTTTTTTTTGACTGACATTCGATTTCAATACAGCTTCACGAATTTGCGGCACATTAAAGCAATAATCGCTATAAAGCTAAAATGTTGAGTATTTTTTTGGTAAATTTTCAGGATTTCGTAACACCTTTGCATATTGTTCCACCCAGAAATTGGAGCTAGAGTTGGAGTGATTATGAGCATAGAATTTGAAAATATCCTAAAAGATCTGAAGTTGAAACGGTAAAATTAAAATATTCATTTAAAACTTCAAAAACCTCAGTTGCTTGATCTGCTTTTTTTCCATATCCTTTACTTGTCACCCATTTTTTAATCCATTCAATCAACGTCTCGTTTGTCATTTTGTTGAACATTTTTGGCGACAAAGAGAACGGAAAACCTTTACTCAAAGCTGAAATTGAAAGATAAATGAAAAAAAAAAGATTTTCATCTCAAATTATATTTCAATAAAACTTGCTGAATGATCGTCCCTCGATTTGATTGAGACCGATTAGCGTTGGGACTGCTGCCAGTCTTTTCATACCTTCTTCTGGCTGAATTTTTTTGACTTTTCAAATTAAAACTAATATTGATCTAGCTAAAATAAAATCAATTTTTTGAAAAGATCTAAATTTGATTGTTTTTCTAGGATGTTAAAGTTTTCTATTGGGTTGGTGAATTGAAAACTACCGGATATTGTCATATGTGACAGTTTGAGCACTTTCTTCAAAAGAAACCCAATTTGGTGTCAATGGAAAAGTTGTAGAGAACCAAAAATGAAGCTTATATCCAAATTTTCCGAACGATTCAAAAACTCGTTTTCAAGAAATCCGAAATTTACGAATTTTCGCAAAACTTGCATTTTAAGCGAAACTACTAAGTGTATCTTTTTGGAAATTTGGCTATAAGCCTCATTTTTGATTCTCTACAACTTTTCTATTGACACCAAAATGGATTTCTTTTGAAGAAAGTGCTCAAACTGGGACATTTCCAGTCCTCCATTTTTGAGTCTCACACTTGTCTCACACACAAACCAAAATGCAAAAAACACAAATCCTACTACGAAAGAAGAATCCGCAAATTGCCTGTAAAATGGGCAGAAGTCGTCAATAATAATGGAAATTATTTCGCAATGAATTCATGGTTTTATGTTCAATAAATTTTAGTTCAAAGTCCGGCAGTTTTCAATTAACCAACCCAATACTTGTCTACCTGTTCCTCAAAGAAATCTCCATCAACCATTGGACTGAAAAGTGCAAAATTGAAATCATTTGGCAAGCAAGTCTAAAAGAAAACGATTTTAGTTGACTTGCTAATAAAAATGATTTGAATTGAATTAAATAAACTGAACTAACCCCGACGGCCGCGAAAAAATCGTTCAGAGATTTCAAGCGAAGGCAACTTAAAGTTTTGTTATTTTGAAAAAAGCCGAATTGAGACTTTTATCTATTTAATTTAATTTTTATCACTTCTACTTACTCTTTAACATTTTCTCTAGTCGAACAACCCAGTCGAGCTATAATTTCACGACTGTTTTCAGCGACATCTTGACCGCGTGCAAAATCAGCCAACGGTGAACCGCTCATCTCAAAGACTTGAGCGAAAAGGCCTGAAATTTGATTTCAAAAAAGAAAATCAGCTGAGCATAAAATTTGATACTTTATAAACCTTGAGATTTATGAGAAACGGTATGTTGTCCCACTGAACTCCCACCGGCTGATTGACCCCAAATGGTGACTCGCTTTCGATCACCTGAGTTTCATTCGATTTTCAATAATTTCAAATGGTTGAAAGCAACGAGTTTTTCTGCATTTCTCAGCTTTTCTCACCTCCAAAATTGTGAATATTTTGCTGTACCCATTGTAAAGCCCAATTTTGATCCCAAAGCCCCAAATTTGGCGGTAATTCGGTGGAGTTTAAAGTAAGAAAGCCTAAATGATCATCTATAGTAAGTATGCCAGAAAGTGTGTGTTTGCAAAAGCACGAGCATTGATGCTCAAATAGATTACCAAGAAACGCGAGACGATACTGAATCGACACGAAAACGATTCCATTTCGGGCGTAAACCTGAAAAATTAACTTAAAATCGAAACTTTAAGCTAGCTTTGAGACTTTTAAGCTTTTAAAAAGGTTTAAGGAGGTCTTAAACTAGTTAGAAACAGGATTTTTTTTTCTTTAAAAATCACTTCTCTAATCCTCTCGCTATCCTGTTCCCCCGATCCAGCCAGATAGGCGCCACCATGAATGTAGACAACAACAGGGTAATTTGAAATCTGAAAAATAGAGCTATATATATTTATAATTTTTTTTTTTTTTTTTTTTTTTTTTTTTTTTTTTTTTTTTTTTTATTTTTATATCTATATCTATATCTATATCTATATCTATATCTATATCTATATCTATATCTATATCTATATCTATATTATATTATATTATCTCTAAGTTATCATCTCTGGTTAATTGACAGTTTCATTTCTGGTTGATTAACAAATTGCGCGCTTTCGATCAGATTTCGAACAATTTAGAGCTTGCCACTATTAAGGAAAATAAACAATTAGCTTTTACCGCTGGCCTCTAGTCAAATCAACTAGCAAACTAAACCCAACCGCTATCGACGGAGTCCAAATGTTCAAATAAAGACAATCCTCGGAGAATTCCGCGAAACCTCTATAAAAATAACATGAATAACCAAATATAGAAGTTTTCTGTAGAGTTTTTTTTGAAAGGTAGACAATGGTAGACAGTAGACAAAGGCCTACCCTTGACATGGAACACAGGATGGCCCAAATGCTTGCACTTTCATCGGTTTTCTCCATGAATTCGGTGCTTGGGGCTTCTAGAAAATGTTTTTGCTTGAAATTTATTCAACAACGATCATATTTTATTGATAATTAAATCAGGCAAAGTTGAAAAGGAAATTACTCAACGAGAAGTGAAAGGACAGATAAGATTAGATAAAAATTAACAATCAGGATCAGGGTTTTTATGATATTTTACCTAAAAAGCTTACAATTGATATACCAGTTTAGTTTCAGCCCAAAAATTTGAATCAAAGTAAATATATAAAGCTTCAGATTGCTGCTTTTTCGTCTTCAGATAGACCGCCAGCCCCATAATGACGGGCGTACAGTCGCGTAGTCTAACTTTGAACGACCCATTATTTGCCCTACTTTAAGCTATAGTGTGCTACATGGTGTCAAATGATAGCTCTTGAAATCTAGTATTTTTTGGTACCAAAATTTAGTTGAAAAGAAATGATTTTTTAAAAAGAAGTTAGATGGAGGACTGTACGAGCATTCAACTATTAGCATTCAACGAGCAACGAGCATTCAACTATTAGCATTCAACGAGCAACGAGCATTCAACTATTAGCATTCAACGAGCAACGAGCATTCAACTATTAGCATTCAATGAGCAACGAGCATTCAACTATTAGCATTCAACGAGCAACGAGCATTCAACTATTAGCATTCAACGAGCAACGAGCATTTAACTATTCAACTATTCAACTATTGTACTATTAGAGCATTTTTCATTACCTCAAATCTCAGTTTTCCAGTTGGAGGTGCGGCAAAACGAATGCCGAGAAACTCGTAGACTTTCACTCCATCTTGCAACACATAAGAATTCCCAATAATCGGCCCATATTTGGTGATGACCAAATTCTCTTGATCATCATCGTAATCGTTAAAAATCCATAAAAATAAGAATTTCTATAGAGCATTAGGACTTTCAGAACTTACAATTTTCCGCAGAAACATTCGCCAGAAAACGAGAAGAATCAACAGGATGAAGAGGGTTTTCTGGCGCATTGAGAAATCTTTCATTGCAATGCTTGTTATGAAGGAATCATTTCTTCATTAAAATTGGGATTTATTAGTGAAATCAATCACAAAAATGAATGCTTTATGAGTGAATGAATGTAAAAAAAGCTGCTGAATCAATATTGAAGCAGGAAAATCGATGAGGAGATTTGATGGTGGGGTTTATGGAAAAGCGCTTGTTTGTTTGTTTTGATCAATGGATTTTATGGATGCTCAATGGATGCTTAAAACTGATTTTTTTTAATATATTCTTCTAATTATATAAATTATACTTATATATAGGTTGATATTATTTTAATAAAATTAGAAAATAAAGTTTTTAAAAGAAAACAGCTGAGAAAGGCAAAAAAGTTCAATAAAATACTAAAGAAAATGAAGAAACGCTGAACTTTTAGAGAGAAAATTGATAAGAAACTTGTATTTTTTGATTGAAAAATGAAAAAGACTGAGTTTTAGGCAAATTTTGCAAAGAAAAGGAAAAGAAATGCCATTTTAACTACAGAAAAACGGCACTTTAGCGCACTAATCTTCAAGACGGGTTTTCTCTATGTTTTTATTAAAGAGTATACAAAACAAATTCTACTTTTCCATAGCCAAATTTAATGAAGATCCTATTAAAACCAAGTTTTTAAAAGAAAACAGCTGAGAAAGGCAAAAAAGTTCAATAAAACACTAAAGAAAATGAAGAAACGTTGAACTTTTAGAGAGAAAATCGATAAGAAACTTGTATTTTTTGATTGAAAAATGAAAAACGTGAAAGTTTTAGGTAAATTTTGCAAAGAAAATGAAAAGAAGAAAAGAAAAAGAAGAAAAGAAAAAGAAGAAAAAGAAAGAAAGCCACGTCGATTCATATCTTTCATTCACAAATTTCTCTGACAAAAAAGAAAGACGATTTCTTTATTGCTTTAAGAAAAGGGTTTAATAAAATGTTTTTTTAAAGAATTTAAAAGTTAGATAAAGATTAGAAAACATAAGAAAGATTTATGCTGTAGGATAGGCAGTATTTGCTATCAAAAAAAGCTTTATTGAGCGTTTTACCAACTGTAACTTATTCTAAACAATTTCTATTATAAATTATCAGTACAATTCAGTAAATATTATCAAATTTTTATCTTTATACTGTAATTTAATAGAATTTTGAGATTTTTAACATCTTTAAATGATATTAGCATTTGAAAAACGAAAAAAAATCTTTTCTTTTTGCTTTTAACACGTGTTTCTATGGAGAAAGGAAGAATTTTCTTTTATTGGATATTGGAACGTATTGGAACCGTATTGGAACGTATTGGAGCCGTATTAGATCTAAAACGAACCATATTGGAACCGTATTGAAACCGTATTGGAACCTTATTGGGACTTATTTTTTGTAAAATATTGAAATATTTATTTGACCATACATACATTAGTATATCAATATAAATTCTAATTTATCAAGATATTAAGTCTCGATCTCTAAATGCAAATCGTTCTCGTGTCGGATCAACTCAATCGCTTGCAGAATTGCCTCTTTTGGGTCTTTTCCCACCTGGAAAATCATGATTTCATTAAAACTTTGAATTAAAAGAGATATTTTATTTTAAAATTTCATACATGAATAGCTCTCCATCCAAATTCGTTGGCTGCTTCACAATTCGTTTCCATATCATCGAAGAATATCACCTCGGATCTCTCGATTTCAGGCGCCGCAGCAACGACTCGAGAATGGCAAAGCTAGAAAATACTGTAAACTTTGGTCAGTCAAAAAAAAGTTTACTGAATCTCTTTATCTTTGATTTTCTTACTTCATATATTTTCTGATCGGGCTTTTCGATTCCTTCCAGACGACTCTCGACAACTGCATCGAAAAGCGCTCGATCCACCGGTGTTGACTCGAGTTTGCGTTCCTGAAGCGATTTTTGAAGTTTTGCTAGTTTTTACAAGACTATTTATTTATCTATTCAATATTCTATTTAAACTTTTACCTTATCAATGAAGAAATTGTTCGTGAGTAGCCCGGTTTTGACGCCATTTTCGCGAAGAGTTTTGATGAAAGTCAGCATGATTTCGTTCTGAAATCAAACACATTAGATTAAATTTATTTCTGAGTTCAGAATTTAAACTCCTTTAATTTAGAAAAATAATTTAGTTTTGCTTTCGTTGTTTCCCACTCAACACCCCAAGCCACCTTACGATTAGTTTTGGCCTTCATTGTGGTTTGGCTACGAAAAGTTCCGGATTCCGGATAGTCGGGGGCGCGTTTGTTTATGGCCCACACGAGCCGGGTTCGACCCCGTAGCCACTGAATTTTGACTTTTTTTTACCTTATAGATAAAGTAAATTGTAGTTTTGTAACGGTCCAGGAAATGAACTTTGCTTTCGTTGTTTCCATTCAATTCCCAAAATCATCTTATAACTAGTTTTGGCCTTCATTGTGAAAAGCTATGAAAAGTTCCGGATTCTCCACTCGGCTCGCAAATAAAAATAGATTTCTTTCTCATTTCAAAGAGAAACACAAAATTTATCGCGTAAAAAAATAATTTTAATCAATCTGACAAAAAAAATGATTTGAAAAGAAAAAATGAACGACGACGCGGCGCTCCTATCGACTACCTTCAAATGGCGGAGACGTCAATTGGAATGCGACGTCGCGCAAAAATTAACTTTTAAAATTTACGACAGAAATTCAAATTTAACATGAAAACGTCTTGAAATCATTCTCTAAAGATGATTCAATTTTCTACTCACGTATTGAATGAAACCAGGAGCGGTGAGTTTCCCCAACCAACGCAACGGCTCCGTATGATTTTTGCCGAACTGAAATTTGAGAGTCAATAAATTCTAAGAAGAAAACTAAAAGCCTACTTAAGACAGAAGATAGTTTTGCATATAGAAATGATAAAAATTTACCACAGTATTAATCGCTTTGAGGAAATCTCCCTCCTCAAACTCTTCAGCGCTGATTTGACCGCACATCAAGCGCTTATCCTCCGCGAACAAATCCCATACCTAAAAATGTTTCTGTAATAAGTCAAAATGCTAATAATGCTATTCAATTAAATACCTTCAACATCATAATATAATTTAGAAGCTTACAATAAAGTACCTCTTTTCGCTTCTCGAAAAAAACCTTCGGCTCGACTCCAAGTTGGTGAGCTAAGTCGATAAAAAGATCCTTTATAGCTCCGTAGCTCATAATGACTCCACCAAAATCGAACACGGCTCCTTTGATCACCATTGTTGAATCTAAAACAAAAAAAAGTTAACACTAGTATTTGAAATATTATATATTTGAAAGAAAATCAAGAATTTAACAAGAATGGTTTAGAATATTTAAAAATGTTATAAGATAATGATGCTCACGAGAGAATGGTACTAGGTCACCGTGGCCGTTGAGACCAAGCCTATCCGATGCTGTTTTTTTTTACGCTGGTTCTGAATTCGGTTTTAGTTTTTGCGTCAGAAACGAGAGATCAGTTTTTTTTTGCAGTTGCAGTTCATGTTTTTGCATTTGTATTTTGCATCGGAAACGAGAGATCTTTGACAAACAAGTTTTAGCTATATACAGCTAAAGGATACGAACTCACGCCAAAAGATTTTTGATAGGCTTCGTAGACAGTACTACTATTCATTCTACCACGACCACTGTTGAAGCTTCCATAAAATGGCCTTAAATGGTTATAGCTACTTGTTTTGCCAAATGTCTCGCGTTTCCGATGCGTTCTGCAAAAGCTAAAACCGGATTCGAAACCAGCGTAAAAAAACTGCGGATAGATTAGGTCTCATTTGAAAAAGCCACAATGACCTAGTATCATTCCCTCGTCAGACAGCTCTACAGCTCTACAATAAAGTTTTTCTAAAGAATTAAAAAAAGTGAACAGGGTAATAAAATTCTTCAATGAGCTTTGGAAGAATCAAAAACTGTAAACATTTTTAAACAAAAATGCACAAAAATGTTGAATCAAAAAGTTTATGTACTCTTTTCCGAGAGACACGGCTTATCTATTTTGGAACAGACTTTAAAAGAGTTGAGAAGGGAAAAGAGACGAGTCATGCAAAGAAAAGAACGGGGATGGAGATCTGTAGTATGTGTTTTGTGTGAATAAAGAGAAAAATGGGGTGAGTAAAGTGTTTCAAAAAGGATCACAGGTAGGCCTAAACTCTAAAATTGGCTCCAGGTGAAGTTCAGGTATCAGTTATCGTTAGCTAAAGCTAAATAAGTTTATGATTTGGCCTTGGCATTCAGGTTAAAGCCAGTCTGCTTTTGATCTAATCACTAATGATAGATTTAAAAAGAAAATCTCTCAAAATCTGATATTTAACGCACTCTAGTCAGCAGTTTTTTCCGTGAAATGAAATCGTTTTCACAGGAAAGAAACTGTGACGAGTTACCTGCAGTTAATCAAAATTCAATACACAAGTTAAAATTCAAAGTTGATGGATAAACTACCGTAATCAGCCACTAGACGAGATTCAGATGTCCGTTTGTTGTAGCTTGTGTACTTAAAAACCCATTATTTAAGCTTTGTTTTGAGTCAGTTGTGGCTCCCTTTTCTATTCATTTTCTATTCATCCCTTTTTCACACGCAAGTGTTAAAGTAATTGTGATAGTGCCCGGTTGCTCCAGTTTGAGCGAAGTTTGCCCTAATAAGGGAAAGTTTTGATAAATTGTGCGTTTTCAAGACATCTACCATCCGAACCACACCGAGACACGGTCTCACAAGAAATGATAAAGATCAAAGTATAAATCAAAATATAAATCAAAGTATATATTTCTTACAGAAACGTTCGTTTTTATAAAAGCGCACCAGGTAGACAGATTGAGTTTTCTTTTTTGACCAGATATCCAATAAAAGAGAACGTTTCAAAGCCAGCAAAATGTAACTTTTTGTGTGTTGTTTCCATGCAAAACTCTAGCATTTCCCTGACACTTTCTGTACATTGTTCTGTACATTGTGATGAGACTCAACGCTAGTCACAAACCAGAGCTTTTAAAGGCTCAAAAAAAACAAATCATAAAATTTATATTTCAATTTTTTTTGCTGAACTTTCTCTTGGCTTTAAAGATTTCAAATAATTGCAAAAAAAATTGCAATTTTAGTCGTCGAAAGCGAGTGATCAATCTTGTTCACAGCTGGAGAGATGACTCGTGTCATATCACAGAAAAATAAGAAAAAAAAACGTAAATGCAAGATGGCTTACCCAGATAATTATCTTAATTAATAAGAGAAAAATTTCTATAAAAAATATGATACCTACCGTAAATACTCTAATTGAAGCTCATCATTGAAAATCTCTGACAAGGGAATTGCCCGAAGTTAAGGTGATCGTTTGGGATGAGTGATACCTCATTCGATAGAGTACCTCTTCAAAATTGATCGGACTGCGTTACATAAAACAAGTAGCGAACTCACGAAGCTTCATGGGAAAAGAAAACGAATCGACGGAACTAAACACCACTTGGCTTCAAGCGAATTTAGATCAACTTGCGAATTTTTCTTTCTAAAACGTAAAAATTCTTGTATTCTTGTATTTACGGTAGATCTACTTTAGTTTTGCATTCATTAGACAAAACAAATTAACAAACACGCAGGTGGTTTGTTTCATCTTGAATTTTGACGGATTCATTGCAGTCTTGGAACATGGAATGTTGAAACTACAGCTAAATGCCTTTCTACAGAATTTGTGTGTAATTGCTGGCTTTACTTTTCATAGCATGATGTTGAAAAACAGAAAACATATGCTTGCTTTCTTTCTTTAGCATTTAAATGTGATAAAATCTTTTGATAATACATTTTCAAGAAGCTGAAAGGAAATACGAAATTTGTATGCTATAAATTGTTCAACTTCTTGAACTGCTTGAAAGAAATCAGAACCTATCGATGTGGGGTCGGAAAATGTAGCTGACGATGAGATCTTGTGGGGGGATTTGAGTGTTGAGCTTCTGCAAAAGCTTGGAAACCGTAAAATAGTCATCAACTCGGCTCGGTGTGGTGCACTACTATTCGAGAAAATACGGTATATATATATATGTTCTTTTAGCTGAATTTCGTTGCACCACGAATGTCGATCATGCATTTCAGCACAATCGCCTATAATACGTATAAATATGGAGTGAATGGGTATTTAATGCCCGATGGATATGTTTATCAAGCGGGTGATTGTTGGTGAGTGAAAATTTGACATTTGATAGATCAAGGAATTCATTTATAAAGCTTAAAACAATTTGAAATTAGTGTACGTTAGTCTAGACAACAATCCTGCCAAACTAAACTAACTAAATTATGATTTTAAATAGAAATAATTTTATGTAAAATCAATGGATTTAGTTGGCAATGAGAAGAAAAAAAAGAAAAGATTTCGATGATCGGTGTTTAGATTGCTTTGTTCTATGTTATTATTTTTTTTTCATACTTTTGCAAAAGAAATTTAAATATAAATAGCAAATAAGTATAGCAATATATAGAAAAATCATCAATTGCTTGCTTTAATTAAATGTTTATTACCGTATTTTCTCTAATAGTAGTGCACCCAGAGCGTTGCCTAAATTGATCGAAATCGAAATCCGCTTATCGGAACCTATTGATGAAAATGTAGCTGACAATGAGATCTAGTGGGGGATTCGAGTGTTGAGCTTCTGGGAAAACTTGGAGACTGTAAAATAGTGCTCAACTCGGCTCGGCGGGAAATACTAGGGGAATAGATCAGTCTGATCTACTAGCCTAACCTGGAATAATCTACCGTCTTCTCTCTAATAGTAGTGCACCCAGAGCGTTGCCTAAATTGCTTGAAATCTCAAGAACCGCTTATCAGAACCTATCGATGTGGGGTCGGAAAATGTAGCTGACGATGAGATCTAGTGGGGGATTTGAGTGTTGAGCTTCTGGGAAAACTTGGAGACTGTAAAATAGTGCTCAACTCGGCTCGGCGGGAAATATTAGGGGAATAGATCAGTCTGATCAACTAGCCTAAGTCCACTTTTTCAATCGAAAATCGAAATTTTCAATCGGTTAAAAGAGATTGGGACTGATCTAGAAAAAAATTAGCTTGACTTGATCGGAGAAAGGAAAAGAAAAGCAAGAGAAAGCAAGAGAAAGCAAAGCAAAAGCGAGTTCGAAAGTGATTGCTTATCCCTTTTTTTTTCTTTCTTTCATTTTTTTGCACTGAACCTAATAGCTAAGAGACACCCGACTGGCTGGGTTTTTGGCACTTTTGACCCTAAAGAAAAAAGTGATTTCCGCCCAATTACACTCTTTTTTTATTTCTTAGCTACAGTTTTTATTGGTTTTTGATTTCAAAAAATACTTGTATAAGTGATTTTTGGCAACTTTAGCTCTGTTTAAACGAAAATCTATGTCTTAGTATGAAAATTTTCAAGAAAACTATTGAAAGCTAGTGTTTTTTGAATAAAACTCTTGAAAACTAGTGTTTTTTTAAAGAAAATCATTGAAAGCTATTGTTTTTATCAAGAAAACTATTCAAAACTAGTGTTTTTTTAAAGAAAATCATTGAAAACTATTGAAAGCTAGTGTTTTTTGAAGAAAACTCTTGAAAACTAGTGTTTTTTAAAGAAAATCATTGAAAGCTAGTGTTTTTTTGAAGAAAACTATTGAAAACTAGTGTTTTTTTGAAGAAAACTATTGTCTTTTAAAAGAAACCTACTATTTTTCTTATTTCTAACAGATTCTGCACTCATTTGCTCACCTATTTGCTTCAATTCGATCTCATAAAAAGCTTTCATTGCAAACATTTTCCCGAATAACTCAGACAAATAAGCTTTGGGAAAAGTTAGCGTAAAAATTGAAACAATTTTTCTTTACAGATCCTCTTTGAAAACCATTTCTACCACCCTTTGTTTCAATCTTTCCTCTCCTTTTTTTTTTGCGATTTCTCGCTGATTTCTCAAATAAGCCGCTTACGCCCACAGAATTCCCGGTATAATAACAAAAAATAAGATCTTTTTGAAGAATTTTGACGTTATTATTAGAGCTTAAGTATTAATGTTTTTTTTGTTCACGTCTCTTGTTCATTTTCTGTTCTTGGGCCACCCACCCAGTCAATTCTTTTCTCTTTTCCTTTCCCATTCTCCGATCTAAAAGAAACCCATAAAAATAGTGCGGACAAATGAACACAAAAAAAAAACGGAGAGAACTAGTGATAACCTGGGAAATATTTTAACATTTCGATTTTCTTAAACTTTTGATTAGTTTTTTTTGTTTGAAATTTGAGTTCTTTTTG